GAACTGCAGCTGGTGCTGGGGGTGACGCTTTGGGAGCAGCGGATGCTGTGCTCTGAGCGCATCCCAGCAGGACTGAGCTGCTGCCAGTGCTCACCCGCATCCCTGGCATCTCTCCTGGGCCCCCATCCCCTGGGATTGCCCTGGCCATCACAGCCATTGCCTTCCACACCTCTGCAGAGCTGGATGCTGCTGTGGTGGCTGGGGGGCCCTTCCTGCAAACTCTCCTGCTGCACCTCAAGCCTGTGAGTTTTTTCCAGGTGTCGGTTGTTAGGAGGAGCTCTCCAATACCCTGTGCTATTTTTGGGTTGAAGAGGGGGTCTCACACAGATTGCCCAGCCCTGAGCATCCCCCCGTGGGGTGCAGGGTGGGTGTTTGGTGGCAGGGATGGTGTGTTGGTGACTCAGGAGGGGCAGGTCGGTGACTCAGAGCTGACAGCACCTGTCTGGGCCGCGGTTATTTATTAACACCCTACCAGAAAGGGCGGCCTGGGAACAAACCACTTGCTTCGCTTCCTCTGGCTGAGGAGATTTAATGACACCTCTCCTGAGGCTGTCTGGGGTTTTGGCAGGGCTCTTGTGTCTCATGCTTAGGTTGGTAAATGGAGATAATCTCTTTGAACTGAAACTCCGGGAATTAGGTTGGCTCTGGCAGCAGAGCCCGGTGGTTTAAGGAGAAGGCTCGGTGGTGTTGCAGTGGTGTCAAAGGGCTGCACCCAGCCTGGGGGCTCCTTCATGGCCAGTTTAAAGCCTCCTGGAGTGAGACACCTGCTCCAATCCTGGCACTCCACTATAGATCAGGCAGCAAAGCTCAGGACCCCCGACCTTGCCCACAGAAGCTGTGGCTGCCCCATCCCTGGAAGTGTCTAAGGCCAGGTGGGGATGGGGCTTGGAGCAACCTGGGCTAGTGGAAGGTGTCCCTGCCCATGGCAGGGGGTGGAATGAGGTGGAATGGACTCTAAGGTCCCTTCTAACCCAAACCATTCCATGACTCTATGATGCAGCACATCTCATGGTGCTAGTGGTGGAACAGGCAGCATGGCAAGAATGTTTTCCCCAAGGATCCCAGATTCCCACCCCTGGTCACCTCCTGGTTGGGCTGGGGATGTGAGCTGGCCCGTTGTGTGGGGTTCTGTCTGTGGTGGAGCAGCTGGGTGGGGAGGAAGGAGCTGTGAGGAGCCCCATGTGAGGTGGGACACGTGTGAACTAGCAGAGAGTGATGGGAACAAGCAGAGAGTGATGGATGGGTCCCCTCAGCAGCACAAGGGTCACACCCTGCCCCGACCTGCCCTGGTGGCTGCTCACTCTGGGGGGACAGTGGTGGCAGGAGACCCTTGCAGGAGGCTGCCAGGCTCGGGAGGACACCGTGCGTTGGCGGGCACAGGCTGTGACTCAACGGGGCTGTTTCATCTCCCTCAGATCTTTTGCTTTTTTACTTTTCTTTAATCCACTTGCCTCATTGACTTTATTTTAGTGGCTGGGTTCACTGAGGAGCACTTTGGTCGTTAAGCACGTCGGGGCATGTGGATAAACCTGCGTCTCTGAACGGGAATCGCTTTAAAGCCGGGATCAAATCCCTGCCTGGGTTCGACTGGCACAGCACGACCCCAGAGTCCCTCCTGCTGCCCCTCACCTCCATCCTGCCCTGCTCCCTGTTTGGAAGGGATAAGGCCAACCACGGTGTGCAGGTGGGAAGTCCCATCCCTTTGCAGGTCCCTCAATGTGTCCAGGTCCCAGTTTCCCTCCACGGACTGGGACTTGTCAGGGCTTCCCTTCCCCTTTCCCGGGGTTGGGGCCAGGCCGAGCCCTGCCTGGGATGTGTGTGCAGGGGCAGTGCCATGAGGTGCTAAGGCAGCTGTGCTGGGACCGGTTCCTGCAAACAGGCTGTAGCTCTCTGGCTGCATTTTTCTAAATCCAACCCTTTGGATGGGAAGGGTTTTGACAGTAGAAGTGGAACTGGGGCATGTCTGAGCAGGGCGAGGGGTCTGAGGGAGGGACACCCGGAGAGGGAGCAGCAGGGAGGTGTGTGAGCCATAACGGGAATGCTGCCAGGATCGTTTCCCTGCCTGTTGGTTTTCTTTCCTGTTTGCCTTTGCTGCCCACACAGTTTGTGCTCACGCTGTCAGTAGATGCTGTAGATGCTCCCGTCCCGATGCCAAAAGTCCTGTTCCTATTCCTGCGCTTTGCTCTGCTCCCGGAAAACACGTGTTTGGGGGGACGGGGAGGAGGCAGATCCCCCTCTCGAAATGCAGAGACCATCATCCTTCCCGCTGCAGACTCAGCAGCTCCTCCTGCGTGTGCTCCGGATGGATGCACTCCCTTTCCCGGGATGCTGCTGAGTGTGGAGGCAGCTCGTGTCCTTGTTCCAGCGCCTGCTGCCTCCCCCCTGCTCTCCCGGGATGTTGTGGTGGGCTCTTGGAGAGAACAGCAGTGCGGGGGCTGGTGTCCAGGAGACACCGGTGGCCTCGGGGCTCGCAGTGTGTGGCCTGGCGGAGCTGCTGCTCCCAGGGCACAGGGAAGCAGCTGATGCCTCACTGGGGAACGTGGGAGGCAAAGGGAAAAAACACATTGCACCTGAGATGGTGCTGTCTGGGGAGGTTTAGCGCTGGGGGACGTGCAGTGCTGGGGAAGGGGGAGGTTTGTCCTGGGTGGGCTTTGTTCAGGTCAGTGGGGTCTGGGCAGGCTGGTCCTTCGCTGGGAGTGTCTCTGGGACAAAACAATGTCCTGTGTCCCACGGTGTGGGGCTAAACCGGGGCACCCACACGCCATTGAACCTGCCTGGGCTCCTTTCCCCGCTGAAGGGTGACGATGTGCCTAATCCACGCGGTAAGGACGTGCTGATGCCCCCGATGTGGGCAGGGGGCCATCCTGCAGCAGCCACCATGGCTCGTGTTCCCGGTGCCTCCATCCCTGCGGCAGTGGCCGTTCCTGCCCCATCCCTCGGTGCGGCCGCATCCCGAGGAGGGACCGCGCCGGCCCGAAGGCTTCGCCGGGGTGGGGGCATCGGGAAGCGCCTTTGATGTGCGGGCACTAAGAGGCTTTGAAATGAGCCGCAGGGCTGCCCGCCCCGCCGGGGAGGGGAGATAACACATCAGAGCCTGCGCCCAGCGCTGCGGTATCGCCCTTTATGGAGCGCTGATTGCTCCCGAGCGCGGCTCGCTGGGGGAACTTCAAAAGCAGCGCTGGACCTGCAACAACGCCCTGTGCAAAGAGTCCCGGGCCGGGTGTGCGGCTACACCCAGGGTGACGAGGTTCGGGGCCCTTCACGTCCCCACGCCTCGGTTTTTGGTAGATCTTTGTGGCCCACTGAGGTGGGTGTGAACTGGATGCGGGGGGGTCGGACCTTCTGGACCTTCTGGGTGGGCACTGGGTGCCTCTGGGGTGCCACCATCAATAGTTTAGCTCCCTGCCTGTCCCAGATCCTGCTGCGCAGTGATCCCCAGAACCTGGGAATTTGGGATTGGTGCCTTGCAAACCCCAGTGGTTCTGGTGAGGTCCCTCTGAACAGTCTTGGTGGGCGCTGGGTGCCTCTGGGGTGCCGCCACCACCAGTGTCTGAGCTCCTTGCCTGTCCCAGGCCCTGCTGTGGTGGTCCCCAGAAGCATTTGGGAATTTGTGGTTAGTGCCTTGCAAAGCTCAGTGATGCTCCTGAGGTAGGCAGATGCTCAGAGCAGGGGGCAGGATTTGCAGCTGCTCCCAGCATGTTTCCCAGCAGCACGGGAGTTAACAGAAGTTGGGGGAAAGAGGAGGAAAAGAGTTCGGATCTCCTCCGCCCCCCCTGCCTTCCCCTGGCTGCTGCCATTTCATCAGGCTGTGTATTGGCCTCCCGAGGATGGAGCTGGGTAACACCACAACATAAACAGAACATCTGGAAGCTCTTAAAGGGTTTTATTTTTTAACACATTTACAAGAGCCAGGGACACTTGTGCAGAGAGCTCTCCAAACTGGGAGATGCTGTGCTTGCTCCTTCCCCAAAAGCCCAAGGCTGGTGGTCAGGCTTTTTTCCCCTGGAGAAGGAGCTTGAGGGGCTGGTTTGTGCCTCCACACCGGATTGCTGAGGGGGTGGTGTCTGGGCCAGGAGGTGCCAGTCTTGCTTGCATATCCCTTGTGAGGTCCAAGGCAAACAGATGATAAGTGTGGCACGAAAAACGAGCATAAACCTCTCCCCTTCTTTCCGTGTGCCCCTGGTTGATGCTGGAGCAGGATGGGGAGTCAGGGAGGGTCTGCTGGGGAGAAAAGCTGTTTAATGATCTTATGGAGCGAACAGGGTGGGAATCAAAGAGCAGAGCAAATGATCCACAGTGTGTATTTAATTCCCCACGTGGACCTAGAGCTTGTCTGAGCCAAATGGGAGCTGCCTGTGCCACGCTTAACAGTGGGATCTGGATCCTCCAGTTGATTTGAAAGCTTGTGGGTGGAGACCCTATGGATAGAGGGATAAATGAGATCCATTCTCACTCTGTTCTCTTGACTGTGTTTTCCTCTCCCTGTTTCCTTCCAAATCTCTGTGACAGTCAGGAAGAGGAGCCCCTTTCTGCCCAGGGCAGCAGTGAGGGCACAGGGATGGGCACTCCTCCCGTGGAGTCCTTGGCTCTCACACGGTGATCCCTGTGCCCCGGCTCTGTGCTGGGATGTTCAGTCCATGACTTACACATCCCTTGGACTGGGTGAGGCAGCCCACGTGCACACAGGCAGGATGAGCTGCTTTCCCTTCCTCTGCGTTCCCAGATGTTTTGGGAATTGTTTTGTCTGTGCACAGAAATGGCCATTTGGGTTTCTTCCATCAGCCCCCGGCTCTGTCTCTTATCCACCCTTGTGCTGTCCTGCACCCTCATCTGCTGCCTCCTGATCCCACAGGAGCCCAGCCTTGGGGCTGGGGCTGCATCTCCTCCTTTACACAGTGCTCCAGACATTTTACTTGGTGACAGAGAAGAATCCTGATTTGCTCCACCACAGCTGCCTACGAGCCTGGACCTTCCGTTAATGGCGTGTTTTTCCTCCGCAGGGTCCGCGGTGAAGGCTCGGGGTGCGGGGACCCACGAGGGGACAGCCAAGGTGCTGCAGCTCTCACCGTGGCCAGGACAGCCAGGAGCACCCTCCCGAGGATGGGCACTTCAGCTGCAGCACGGGGAGAGGGACACAGGGACCAGCAGCTCGCCCTGAGCTCGCCGGGGAGCGATGGAGCATCGGGGGCTGGGGGAGGTCCTTCCCTCAACACCCACCAAAACCAGCCCCGAAAGCAGCCCCTGTGCCCTCACTGGGCTCCGCAGCCCCTGCCTGCTGAGGGGGGGTTCCTCCCAGTGCTGACCTCGCTCCCGACTCCCACACAGATCCGAAGGTCTTAATTAGCTGCTCTCTGCTGGGCTTTGGAAATTATCCCTGTGGGAAGTGCTGGCGATGGATGGATGGATGGCCAAGTGCTCTGGGGCCAAACAGCAGCTCGGAGCTTTTCTCTGGGAAGGACCCCAGTTCCGAGGAACCAGCTGTGGAGTTTTTTTGTCTTTTTTTCTTTTTTACCTTTCTGTTCTTCTTTTTGATGCCTTTTGGGGTTCTTGGTTCTCCAGGACGGCTGGAGCTGCGCTGGATCCCGCTGATGCCCACGGTGGGAACTGGAGGCCTTTGGAAGAGCCACAGGGCAGCAGAAGCTGAGTTGGTGGTCGCGGTGCCCTGGGGTTTAAAACTGCCTGGCAGAGGCTCATCCTGTGCTCTGGGTGTTGGGTGCCCTCAGGAGGGTCTTTGAGCACTCACGTGGAGCCCAGCCCAGGTGGGATTGGGAAGCAGGAGTGGAGGGAAATGTCACCCTGAGAAACAATTAAATTTCTTAATAAACCGCCTTGGCTCTGTGAGTGCTGGATGTTGTTCTCCGTTTGCCTTGGCTCAGCCACACTTACATCAGGGTCCTGTCCCGGGGCTGCCGGGGGGGACGCCTTGGATTGTACAGGAAACCAGTGCTTTGGGAAACTTCTGCCCTAACAAAGCCAGACCAAGAGTTTAATGCCTTTGCTTTGCAGAAAAGTTCTCCCCTGTCCTTTCCCTCTTCCCTTTCTGCAGCCCTTAACCACCACTGCCTGATGGTGTGGCCTGGTGAGCCGTCCCTAACACACCTCCTGCTCTGAAAGCCACTGAAATGCAAATTATTTCCCCTTAAATCCTGTTGTTTCATGTCCCTGGACTGTGTATTCCCTCCCACCCCCACCCCGTGCACCTGATGCAAAGCACTGGAAGGGACAGATCCAGGGAGAGATCCAGGGATGGAGCAGGGAATCCCAAAGCCCGAACGTGGACTTTTTGGAGTTCCTGACTAATATTTTCCTCAAAGGCCCCGTGCCTTTGGTGTGGGTCAGTCCCTCATTCCCGGCCAGGCCGTTAAACGGGAAGGGCGTGGGGCTGCACTGCTGTTTACCTGGGGAGCCAGCAGGAGAACCTGCCCCTCACTCTTCCTAGTAAATACAAACTGGAAGCACCGACCAGCTCATGGGGATTTATTAGTTTGCTTTACCAAATGCAAATATTAAGACTAGTTAGGCCGGCCCGGGGGCTGCCTTTTGCCTTTTGTGTGCTGTGCTGGCGCCTCTGGGTGCTGATAAGGGGGTGCCCTGTGCTCGGCCAGTTGTGCTCAGGGGGTTTCTTTTGCACCAGTTCTGCGTCCCTTTGGCTCAGGACTGATCCTGCCAGGGGCTGAGCACCCGGGGCTGCTGTGCCTCAGCCTCCCCAGCCCTGACCTGGGGATGTCCCCGCTCGGGTGAGCTCCTCTCTGGCGTGTCCCAACCCACCCCGTGCCCTTGGCACAGTTTGCAGCTGGTGTTTGGGTTTGTGGGGCCAACCTGGAGCAGGTGAGAGCTCCCTGTGCTTGTTTTCACTGTAAAGGGTAACATGTGATTCTGCTGTCATTGAATCCTTGAATGGTTTGGGTTGGAAGGGACCTTGAAGCTCATCTTGTTCCACCCCCTGCCACAGGCAGGGACACCTTCCACTAGCCCAGGTTGCTCCAACCTGGCCTTGGACACTTCCAGGGATGGGGCAGCTTCTCTGGGTAACCTGTGCCAGGGCCTCAGCACCCTCACAGGGAAGAATTTCTTTCCCAATATCCAGTCAAAATCTTCCCTCCCTCACCTTAAAGCCATTCCCCTGCAGTTCAGTAGTTCCCTGCAGGGTAATCCGAGAGCCCGAGCCAGCTCCAGCTCCAGGGAACACCACCCAGGACCACCCCAGGCATGGCTGGAGGTGCAGGTGGTGCTGGGAGCAGGGATGGCTCGAGGCAGGGATGTGCCCCAGGGCTCAGGGTACGCAGGCTGGGGATGAACAGATGGGAGTGATGGTCTGGAGGAACCGGATTTATGTTTCCTCAGCTTGTTAATGTGAAGATCCTGTTCCATAGAAGGCTCAGTGGGCAGAAGGCCCCTTCCTTGCTTTCATCCTATTGCTTGGGAGCAAGGGGGAGTAGAGTCCAGCTGGGATGGGGAGGGTTTGGGAGGAGGAGGAGGAGGCCAGGTGAGCAGCTGGGGGAGCACAGACCAAACCCAGCCATTCCCCCCATTTCAGTTTTCCATTCTCATCCCGTTTCTGCCCCATTTCATCTGGCCCTGCCTCATCTGGTGTGTATTTACAGGCAGTTAGAGATGCTTGTCTGGATGTTATTTTCCCTCTGGGGCCCATAAAATGCATCTGCTGGAGCTGCTGCCCGGCTCGGGGGGGACCTGCAGCCCCTGCTGGTGTCCTGAGCCCGTGGCTGTGGGCTGGGGGGCTGCTGGGCCTTCTTCCCATGTTTGTTTTGACAGCTTAGCAGTGTCAGGCCCTGGCTGCAGGTGTGTGCAGGATGAATCCTGCCGGGATGCTGCAGGGCCACACGGACGGGGACACTTGGAAGCTTCCAGCAAACCCCATCCCGGCTGGGCTGGGGGTGGTTGGGCTTCTCTGCGTCATGGGAACACTTAGACTGGGAAAGACCTTCAGGATCATCGAGTCCAATGTTCACCCAGCACTGCCAGGGCCACCACTAAACCAACCCAACGTGTGCCCTCAGCCAAAGCCCCCAGAGCTCTTTGAGGAGGGGGTTGGTTCTCAGTCACTCTCCCATCATTCACCATCTCTAAAACTGCCTTTTTTTCCATTGTTAAGAGTTTATGGGTGTCACCTCCCACGGAATGGTTTGGGTCAGCAGGGACCTTGAAGGTCTTGTTCTGAGCCCCTGCCAGATGCACTTTTGGGTTGCTTTACACACTGCTTTGCTCACTGGTTTAATTCTTGCTTAAGGCTGAGCACCTGGGGGCAATTACTGACCCCAGATCTCCTGGGGGCTCCCAAACCCCCTCCAGGTGTCCCCAGTCCCGGGGTCAGTTAAAAGCTCCCCACAGGGGCGGGGCCCCAGAGATGTGATGGTGCTCTGCAGGAGAAGCAGCCACGGGATCCTGGGAACCTGAGCAGTTTTCTGGGTGCTGGAGGAGGCAGGTGAGGCTGAACCTCTTCTCCTGCTCTCTCCATGTTGGACTTGGCTGTGCAGTCTGGAGCTAAAGGGGGTGGGGGGCTTCGTGCCTCGGTGTGATGTTGCCATGGGGTTTGGTGTGTGAAGAGGGTTGAACTAGGAATGAAATAGCTGATTATGGTTTTTTCATTTGTCAGACAACACAGCTGAGCAAATCCCAGCCTTCTGTCTGTTCATTAAGGGGCTAATCCTTTGTCTTTTCCTGGAAAAATCCTTTCCAGGAATCCCAAGGTTTTCTAAGTAGGGCCAGGCTTAGAAGATATAATGGGAAAGGGGTGTATTTCCCTCTCTCAGGTATTTCTTAACTATTTCTCCAGTTGTTTCCACCTCTTGCTTGCCCACATGATCTTCCCTCCTGTTTTCCACCTCCTGCACAGGAACTCTCCTCTGGGGAGTTCTGGTGTCCTGCAAGGAGTGACCTGACCCTTCCTCCTCTGGCACCCACCAGGGTGGGTGTTTTGGGGCTCAGCAGGGCTCAGGGTGCTGTGGGTGGTGCTGAACCCCCTGGAGGAAGGGCTGTGGGGCCAGGGAGCCTCCATCCAGCCCCAATCCCACAGGAATGCTGATTAGCCCCAAAGCCGCTCGGGGCAGCGCTCAAAGCTAAGCTGGTTCTCCTCTAAGCCTTTGGGTTTTGGTTGCCTCCAAGGAGAGGAAATTCTCCTGCTGGCAGAGATCTCTCCTCCCTTCTAACAGGGTGATTTTTTTTTTTTTGGTGCACGGAGTTAAACCTTCCCGATGAGTCCTCCCCAGTTCCCCCAGTTGCTGCTCACTGGGAGCACTGGCCCTGCTCCCCCCAGCTCTGCTGTTGTCTGGGTGCTTGTAATGGCACAGCCTTCCCAGAACATGGGCTGATGTTTGTTCTCCCCCTCCTCTTCAAATTAACGTGCCGGCCGTGCCTCACCCTAATTAAAACCAGCAAAGAGGACTGGTCCGGGCTGTAAAATTCTAGGACAGTTTTATGTAGAGCAATTAAAAGGAAGGCAAAAAAAAATTGTTAAGAAATTAAACACTAATTACTTTTTTTTTTTTTTGGTTGTTGCCAGCTGAACTGTTTTGGCAGTGGGGCTGCAAGTGGGATGCAAAGACTTGGGATGGTTGGTTCCCTGCTGCCATAAATCAACTGGATCAAATGTTCCCTTGCTTTTTAGCCGTGTAACTCATCTGCTGTCAATTAGCCTAAATCACATTTTTTCAATTAAACAGGCTTAAAGGCCTGATAGCAAAGCCTGGTGGGGAGGGGGAGGGAGAGGCAGAGCCTGGTTGTAGGCAGCGAGGTGGAAATATCTTTTTAAAAGGTGTGATCCCATTTTAGTGTTTTCCATATAAAATATGATCTAAATGTCTGTGCTCTGGGGAGCAGTAAGAGCTGGAAGCCCAGCTGAGGAAGGAGCCTGTGGAACAGGGGGGACTGGCCATGGAGGTGGCCCAAGGGATTAAAGGGGAATCCCAGCTGGGATGCTGGAAGGAGAAACTCACTGACTGCAGGAAAACTCCTTTGGGATGGATTTTAGTTGTTCCCTTAAACTCCTGCCCTAATTCCCCTCAAGTTTCCAGGCTTGCAAAGAGGCTGCCCATGGTGTGAGGGCTCCTTTGTGCTTCAGGGAAGGTGAAATTATCCTGTTGTTTGCAGTGGGAATGGGTGGCTTGCATAATACCTGGAATGATTTGCGTTGGATGGTGAAGTAAACCCACTGTTTCCTCTCTCTGTGTCTAGTCTTGCTCACTGAGTGTTTTCTTTCTTGATTGGAAAAGGAAAACAGGCTGTGAAGTACTTGGAAAGGGGTGAGGAAGGGCAGGGCTTGGAGTAAATGGCTCCTTTTATACCTGAATCTGTCCTGTGTCCTCTCCCCCCCAAAAAAAAAGGTAGATAAAACCTTCCCAGGTTGGAAAGAACCATCTGGAGTGGGCTGAGGAGCTGGTCCTGGCCCCAGGAGGAGGAAGGGGTGTGTGTGGCTTGGCTAGGGGTCTAGTTTTTGCATATATTACCTGTCCCCCTCCCCCTGGGGTTTGGTCCCTGCTGGAACCAGACTGTGCTGGGAGAGCATGGGGTGGCCCCTGGTTTGCCCAGG